TAGATAGTAAAACAAATTCGAAATTAAAAATTCGGGCTTCCATGTCCCAATGTATGGGTGGAGGATTACGTTATTCAAAATTTGACAGCTCTAGGTACCGTCTTTTTTCCTCTTTGCGATACACATTCCTATTTTCATGACACTCTCCTTTATTTAATTTCTTTAAATATAATACATGGCGATAATATTTGGTGGCAACAATTTGAAAAGTAGTTCAGCCTTTTACAGTGATTTAACACAAAATCTCGTTTCGAGACTAATAGCATTTTTGACGTAACGTTCCTTTGGTTTAATAAGCCTATAATTTTGAATGAGTGTTATCTAATATTCACTTCTCTTACTAATTTTGGGCATTTGATAATGGTACACTCAAATACAGAATTTATCATTTTAATTAAGACGTAATTCTGATATTTTAAGGCATTACTAGATCAATTAAAATCATCGAGCATTAGGATTTTAATCCGTTTTCTTTTTTCTTGATTGATAAATGAGCTGGTGAATTGGATTTTCTTAACTTTTTTATGCCTAATATAAACTGACTATAACGTTAAAATAACCTCTAAGAATGCTTTGAATTCCGCACACAGGTAACTCTTTCATGCTTTGTCATTATAATAGAATCTAATCTAACTTAATTTTAATTAACTCTTTCATAAGGAATTATTGCTTTCCTCTGAGTGTGCTTCCGTCGTGTAAGCGATTAACACTCAAAGAGTACAACTGATTTTTCATACTTCATGGATCGGAAAACTCATTACTCTCTACGTTAATGCCTGAATTAAACTGTGGTCGACTATAGATTGCCCTACCTGTTACTGGTCGACTGGGCTTGTTTCTCTCCCCTGTCGTTCTTTAAGTGGAAGGAATGTAAGATGTTTTCGTATTTGCCCATGCCTGCTCCCGTGATGTAAGTAGTTAGAAAGTTTACCTAACAACTGGGAAATCCTTGGTTCGAATACAGACTGGGAGATTGACTTTTCGTGTTTTCTGCTTCGAAATATCTGATAGTCTTTACAGTTTTTCATGGAAGTTTAATATAAAAATAATACATACACATACACTGTGTCCACAAAAGTTTTTATGTGGCTTTTGTTTACGAAAACGTTGGTCGTAAATATACACTATTTACGGTTAGATAAATATTTTATATGATGCAAATATCCCTGCGAACAAATTTTAAAACGTTAGGAAACCTAACTTTTTAGTCGCTCCCCGTGATCCCTATATTTAACATCTGAGAGCATTTTATGCTGATCAGAAGTCAACAAATTTGAGAACTAAATTCGATAATTCAATCAGAAAAGAATGCTCTATTAATATTAATTGTGCAGTAATATTAGCATTAATTTACATAAATAATTACTATTAATAATACTGGGTCTTAATAATATTAATGCTACTAATCATTTAATATTAATTCTGCGCAACATTCATATTAATAATTTACGTAAATAGCCGACTACATAATGTAACTATTATTCTCAAAGCATAATTTATTATTGTGTCCACCTATGCTGCATTAGCTTTAACCATTGTGTCTCCAGCCATTACAGGAATTTCCGTTCCTAACTAGATCATGCATATCAACAACATAACATGTGTAATTCGCTTCAATAGCCTTTGGTGACTTAAGCGAATCAGAACTGCTAACAATTCTCCAGGAACTTCTACATTCCGTTCCTTGAATAAATTACATGAAGCGTAACATAACGAAAATCAATGCAATTGCATTTAACAAACACACAAAGGAAAATAAATGGGGAGAGCGTTCCTGCTCAGACTCACAACAGAAGATAACATGCATTTTACAGGTCACGTATAACTCTACATAAATGGCTCAAACGTTCTTTCTCATGTTAATTTATTTACTCATAGAATATTAACTAATGTAACTAATTAACGAATGTAACTGTATAAGTTACCGATAAAGTTTGAAACGCATCCCATTGTTTAAAAATGTAAAATGTTTTTGTGAGAAAAAAGTAATTAATTAATTCAAAATGCCATTCAATCCTACTATGTTGCAACAAAGAGGTTAATTTTAATACCTAAATTTTAAAGTAAAAAATTTGCATTTTTTATATTTTCTCGTTTAATGTGTGTATTTTTAATAAAGATCTTTTCATGATTCTGTTTTTACGTTAATAAGGAACAAAAATACTTGCAATTTTGTTCAGGATTTGAATACCTTGTAGACACATTAGGATTATTTCGAAGCAAGAGAGACTGAAAAATGAACAAACGCCTTCGCCGGGAATCTAAAGACGGACCTCTGAAATGCCGGCACAGTGTGCTGACCACTACACCACGTAGGCATGCTAGGAAAGTGGGATAAATACCTTATATACTCCTCATTTTAAAGGGCGACTGGGGATTTTAGAGGACACAATGGCCAAATCCTAGGTGTGGAGAATCCTCATCCAACACCCTTTTAGTTCGGGCGCCACTTTAGAGACATTAGGTTAATTGAAAAAGCTGGAGAGATGAAAAATTAGCAATCGCCTTCGCCAGGAATCGAACAGCGGACCTCTGTAATACCGGCTCAGCGTGTTGACCTCTACACCACGAAGGCACGCTAGGAAAGCAGGAGAAATACGTTGAACCTGACCGAACTACCAGTGTTCAGCGACTTTACCGAGAAATTGTGCCTCTATATATTATAATTTTGACATCATCATACGAAACGTCGTGGGAGAAAAGAAAAAAAGGAGGAAACGCAATTTTAAAACAACATAGCATTAAATAACATCGTAGGAAAAAAATGCGATTGAAAAATTTAGCAACATTAAAACATCGTCGTATTAAATAATATGGTAAAAATAGAGAGCACACAAATCATCGTGTAATGATAACTATTAAAAATTATTATTTAATTAAATCTCCCTTATAAATGTGTATATATAATTTTTCATGAAAAAGTTAATGAAAATATAATTAACGAAAATTAATGTATATATATATATATATATATATATATATATTATATTATTAATGTATATATTATAATTAATTATAATTAATGAAAATATAATGTATATATAATTTCATGAAAAAATTAATTAATGAAATTAATAATTTCATGAAAATTTTTCATGAACAAAATAGAGTATTAAAAAATTGAAAAAAGTAAAAGGAGTAATAGCAGGGGATTATCTATACTAAAATAGTTTAATTAAATATTAAATTGTAAAATGAACTGTAATTAATTCATACATAACATTAATTTCAGATTTTTAATGTTTAATCTTTCTTCTTGCTTTTTCAGTAAACATTTATTAGTTATTTCAAAGGAATAAAAACTACAGAAAAAATATCAGGCTATTATCATCACACGATAATTTGTAGGTGCTTTATTTTTACTAGATATTTTGAACAACGATGTTTTAGAACTGCTAAGTTTCTTAACAGCTTTATTTTCTATACAATATTGTTATAACTCCATATTTTAAAACTGAAATGTTTTATCCTTGCTTGATTTTCTCCCACGAAGTTTTGCATGGTGATGTTTTCAATTTGCGCTGTTTTCTCCGAGACGTTTTAATCTGCAATGTTTTTGCCACGATGATTTCGCCTGTAACCGTCGCATTACGTGATATCAATGCTGTAATTCGTATTTCATTTGAGCTTAACACTCGCGGTAAAACTGACTCGCTGTCATATTTGTTTCTCATTAAGCGGTTTCTTAAAAATTCTTTGATGTTTAAATTTATTTCATCTCTGAAATTCTTCAGACTAACAGCAAGAACAGCTGAAATTTGGGACGCTTGATGATATAGTAATAGAAACCCATTCCCTACTTAAATGCTTAATTTCTAATAAATCTATAAGCTAGTCTTTGCGAGAACAGTGTCAAAATCTAGATGCTATTTCATTTTCTTATAGTTATATAAATATAAATATTCATTAAAGTTGCAGAGTGAAAAAAAGCTATTTTTTAAAAAGGGTTGAAGCCTCAGCCTTAGTTTAATAATGTCAATATTATTAGTAAACACAACTGTAGACATGAAAATACAGAATATTTCCTTTCTAACCCGCGCATCTTAAGGGGGTTCATACACCTTAAACGCCTTATGATCTTCGAATTATGTGACTGTTGCAAGAATTGGAATATTTTATTTATTTTAAAAGCAATTACTTCCAACTTTTTACAGCTACTAATATAGCTGCTTTAGAAACTAGTAACCAGAAAGTTTGTGTTGCCACAAATATTTTTGTAATTTAACCCGATTTGTGACAAAAGTTTCCGTCATGTTTCCACCTTGCGCGCATAATATTTTAAAAATGGCTAATGGTACGTACTTGAAATTGGATGGAATTCTTTATATGGGCTCTATTTTCTAACTGAACCAAAAATCTGATGAACATTTTAATATTAAAAAATTTCATATACGAAAACATTGCAGATTTTTTTAATAAAATACATTTTATAAACTGAACTCGAAATAAAGTAAAAATTTAACATGGAATTCTTAGAATTTTTGGTTCGCAGTAGTTCCAAATTTTATAAAAGCTATATATTTAAATATGGAATTAAATTTTGCAACAAAATGTTTTAAGCAGTGCGTGCAAAGTGGATACATGTCGAAAAAAGGTTGTCACAAAGCGGATTAAATTATAAAAATATTTGCAGCAACACAAACTTTCTGATTACTATTTCAGAAAGCAGCTATATTATGTAGTCAGCTGTAAAAAGTTGGAAGTAATTGCTTTTAAAATAAATAAGTTATCCCAATTCTTAGAACAGTCACATATTCGAAGATCTTATGGGTTTTAAGGTGTATGAGTCCCCTTAATATCGTTTTCTTCTTCTTTGAATTCTTATACAATATTGTTGCTCTAATGCAAATCAATCAACAAATGATTTAAATTTATTATTAGTTTCATTTTCTTTAAAACCCTTATTCATACATGCTACCCACTTATAAAACTTACTATATTTAGTAATACATTTCATATTTTATTTCAATGCAACAAGCTGAAAAAGTAAAAACACTTACATTGTGCAATTTTTCCGCAATATATCTAATATGGACTTCGCCTGACTCTAGCTTGATGCTTCCCCATTCCCAATATGTCCTCACCGGGCTTGGATCAGAACAAAAGTAGACGGCGATGACAGCGTCCTCATCCTTTTCTACGACGACTCGTTTTTTCGTTCGAGCTGTGTCAGTCAAAACTTGAGGTGCACCTGAAAAGCACAAAAGAATGTCAATTTCCGAAGACGTCATACGGGAATTTGTAGGAATCAATCAGATGGCAGAAGTAAAAGATTACTTCATCATACGTAAAAATACCTTCTCTACATATATGTAACATAATTTATAAGGATAGATGTAGAACATGATGTTGAGTGCTGGGTGATATTTTCTTTAACGGGAAGGTAAACCTCAGCTATTTATTTAAGTATAATTAGAAAAATAATATAATTCAAGTGTCGGAACGGACGCACCGGCTGTTCAGAAATTTCTAGCACACGTTTCAAATATTTGTTGAATTATACCAACGGAAAGAAAACAGCAAGAACATATTTATTGGTTATGTCCCATTTGAGTCTTTCTCAAATCAGGTTTTTTAAAATCGTTACATTTCAACCTCTCTCGATGGAGGGCTGTGCCACACTTTAAGATTTCCCAGATAAGAATTTCTTGAAAACAGTTCCAATTCAGCCTCTTCACGATGGAAGGTTATGAACCCAGGGTTTCGCAGATAAAGCATTTTTGAAAATCTTCCTATTTTAGACTTCGGAAACGAAATGGGTAAGAAAGGTTACTATTTCCGCCTTTTCATTCATGTTTCAAGTTAAAGCGAAAACGCAATGCGATACGACTGACAAGTATGTATAACGTGTTGTTACTATTAATCTCCACCCTTTAAAGATTCTTTTCAGATACTATTTAGATACAGCTTTTAATTTTCCTGGCGTTGGCGTACAATAGGGTAACATGCAAAAAAGTATTAATTAAAAACACGTGATGAATCACATGTTATTATTTCGTCTACCATCTATCTTTGCGCATTTGCTGCCCAAACGCCCTTTACGACGAACAGAAGAGATGGAAAAAAATTTATTGAAATAGTTCGATTCCTGATCTCGAACATCTATAGAGAGAAGAAGCACGGAATGGCATGTTACCGCTTCCAGAAAGCCTGAAGTGGGAAAAGTTGAAAGGAGACATACATGATGGAGTAGGTTAAAGCATTTGCCAAATCATACTTTCTTTTAAGGGTTGATCCTGAATCTGAAAATGTAACAGGAAGTCATGTGACTACAAAATATGTACGAAATGATGTCACTATTGTGAATTCCTTTAAACTTTGTGTTTAACTAACGTTTAAATGTAATATCACAGCTAAAATATTTTGACAATTCTAAATCTAAAATGGAAACTTTTGCAGATTGGACTAACATTAAACCTAGTTTAAAATAAAATAGCACAAAAAGAGTTTTTATATATTAAGTTTTTATTTAAAATTTGTAAAATAATTATTGAACAGAAAGAATAAAAATAATTATCAAAGATAACAGCTTAAAAATTAGAACCCATTTTCTTCCCTAAAACGAGAATTGAATTTTTTTCGCCCGCTTCTAACAAGAGGTCTTCGATCGGTGCGTAGACTATAGTGTTCTGCTGTTGAGAGATAACAGGGAATAAGAATTCATCCGACAGTTTATAAGATTAGAATAATGTTTAGTTTATGTCAAAATGCGCTTAATCATAACACTACGACCATTTACGTGAACTCGTTTAGCGAAATCAGTTTTCACTGACATTGTTGACATTTAAGTACTGTACACAGTTTTTAGGCACGGCTAAAAGTATAAAAATATATGTATATTCGGAAATCAGCATTCAGTAATAATACATTTTACTAGCCATCAGTTGCCCTTTACCTAATACAAGAATCAGTTGCCCATTACTACCTAATAGCACAAAATATAAATAAAATGAAGAATTTTAAAATGTCATTAACGTCTGTTTCAATGAAACTTTTGTTTAGCATCAAAGTTTTCTTTAAATCGGAGTTTATCCAATAACGTTACGGTTAATCTAATCTTATGCTATGTCTCGCTTTAAACAATTAATTCAACTGTACTTCTTTCCTTAATCTTTTCCGCCTCCAGTTTATCAAGAGTAATTAGCGAAGGAGAAATGAAATGCGTCAACAAAGAACATACAACATTTACACGCAAATTCAACAGCAAATTATTAACTAAACAGGAGATGCATTGCAATTTGCCGGAACACTTAGAGAAGGCTGCATAATGGAAATAATCTCTCAGACAAATAAAGAAATACATACAAATTATTATTAATTTTGACTGTTTAGGTAAATAATGCATACCATAACAGTTTGGTGATGAGAAGATAAATCCTATTACACTTTGCTCTTACTAAACTCTAATAATTAATCAATTCTCTAATGAAATTAGTTAAAATCTCTACTTAATTCCCGTTGATAGGAACTTAATTTAATTATTTCGAGTTTAGATGAAGAGACGGAAGAGCTAAGCTAAGCCTAACTTTCTCTTAGATTTGATTGGGTGTTATTAGATTTGATTAAACGCTAAATTACTAAAATAGTGTTTTAAGAATCGAGGAGTTTAAATGGAAGCGACACTTAAAAACTGGAATTTTACTTCGAGCTATAGTTTGGATGAGAATCATAATAAAAGATCTATGAAATTTTTAAGAATATATTTTTTCATCGATACTAATTGCAAAAGTAGTAATAATAAAAGAAATTTTTAGTTAGCAAGTAGCAGCTCTCGTAGTAATAATAAAAATAGCAGTTAATTAATTAACAATAAGCAACTGTCGTAAGAGTAACAATAGTTATAGCATAGTAGCAATTAGTTGGTTAGTTTTAAGCATAAATCCAAATCTAATTTACTCCTGAACATCATCATAATAAAAATAGTTACAACAGTATAACAATTAGTTGGTTAGCGTTTAGTTGGGAGGTGAAACTTTAGTAACTCTTGAACTATACACTTGTTTAAAGGAACTTTTTACAGACTATCTCTCCCTTTAAACTGAAGTCTGGAACCCTAATGAATACAAGCAAGAGTAAAACTTAATTAAAACTTTATTCGCAACTAAGGGTTATAGATAGAAGTACAAATATAGTAAATTTATTTACCACTTCGTGAGAGGTCTTGTAACACAAAAGGCATAAATATAAACAAAAAAATACTATACTATATAAACACTATCGAATTCCAAAAATAGTCAGAGCCATCTAAGATTACAGGTGATGGTTTAAGAAAGAACAGCTTTGCAAAATTCCCTCTATCAATTTAAACCCTTGTCTGCTATTTAAATCCCACCTTATTTATATTAATGTTTACAAAACATACAATAACAGGAGAGAATTAACATGAAAATAACATGTTATTTAAAATAAATCACAGATGAATAGTTAGTTCATTAGCAGTAATAATAAACAAAAGTAGTCGTTACAGTAAAACAAGTAGATAGTTTTAGCTGCTAAATAGAAGCAGTGACTGGTTAACGTATTAAGACAAAACATATCTGGATATGGTTAAGCATTTGAGGGTAGTTGCCTAAGAGGAGGACTTTCTAAGAGCAACTGGCTCGTATTCATATCGGATATGAGGATATCTACGAAAAATACCCATGCGGCGTTTTACCTGGAATCGAATCCGGTTCGAACTCTCGATCAGTGATCTTAATCCCTGAATCCCTGAGCCAAAAACACACAATGACATGCAGCGTTTGTATGCGTCTGCCTAAGATTAGCCATGGAGCAGAAAGTTCTAAGAGAAACACGTTCACCTTTAATATATATATATATATAGGGAAAGCACTAAAATAAACAAGTAAGAACCTAGTTCGCAGGGATTTGAGCCCGGGTTCAGTTAGAAACGTTCATTGGCCTGTCTTTTCGACCACTGGTAGATAAGTAGCAGCGATAATAATGATTATTAATTCGTAGTAATAGTCAAAGAGTAATAAGGAAAGGCAGTCGTAACAATAATTTTAATAGCACAAAAAAGCAACACCAGATAACTAGTTGTAAGAAAGACAACTTTGATCGTAGTAAATAGTAATAATAAAATGTTGTAAGTTAGATAGCAGTAGCAGTAATAATAGTTATTATTATTAATATCAGCAGAAACACAATAAAAATCTCATGAGCAGCCATTATAATATTTCTACTTATAATATTAATAACAGTTACTATTAAAACTAACTATTAGTTTAGCCAGCGAAAGCATCGGAAATCGTTAAGTGCAATTAGTTTAGTTGATAGGAGGGTAACAGCAGTGGTTCTGTTGTAATACGACTAACTAATAGTTATTGCACTAACTAGTAGTTAGGTATTAGGAGTAGATCTAACCTTACTACTTAACTGAGATTACTCACAGAAAAATCTCTATGTTAATAGAATATCATTTGCTAATTTCATAATGTTCTGGTGTTAAGCAATATTTTATCTGTCAATACCAAGTATCTGTAATTTTCAGTTACTTCTATAGTTTAAGGTATTCTTAAAAGCAAAAAGAATAACAGTCTTAAAAAATATAAACTCTGTTAGGTTCTTAAAAATAACTCACCTAACTTTAGTACATTTTCTAGGTTGTTGACTCAAAAGCCGCAAGCAAAGAACAGATATCAATTTCATCTTGAAAATAATAAGAGTCGACAAGTTTTCGGTTCTCTCTTTGCTCCCCTACTCTCTCCTTGTCATCTATCCCACCCCGACCATGAGTCAATTGACGTAAAATGTATCGATTGCAAAGAAGTTCCCTCGGCAGGCCACTGTTCTGGAACCAGCTCCACTCATGATTCGATGTGTAAAATCTCCAATATGTCAGCAGGGTACTGCGAACTTTGTTCTATTCTTTTTCCGATATTCAAAATATCTATCATTGTAAGTTTCGCGAAAACAGTGTTTCTCCGACAATAGGTAATAAAATATATCGGTTTTTCAATACAAAAATGTATATTCTTTTGCCATTGGTTTAGATTTTTAACATTCGCTGCTCGCGCAAAATTGTAACAATGGTTGCGCGGCAATGCAATTTGTGCAGACTTCTTATATTGATGGGGCGTAACTTCAAAGTTCAGAAATCGATCTAAGCTAGCTGTGGTTGTAACATGCCTCTTCTGGTAATAATAACTGAGAAATTTAAAGGTAAAATGATTAGTTTATAAGGTATTT